TCTCTGAATTATCTGGTGAATTAATTATGAATTAATTATCTGATGAACGTGACATGCTCTTGCTCTCTGTAAAAAAAAGCAAAGCCACTTCCTCGTCCGACATTAAACAGAGCCCGACAGAGGAGGGAGGGGCGGGGAGGCTCTCGCTGTGCAGCGCTTCAAGAGCTGACCTGCGTCTGACCTCAAAGTGCACAAGCTTCCAACTTGAAGTGTTGGATGTGATTTTTGAAGCTGAAATCGCGTTCGGTGTGAACGCAGCATCACCTCCACAAAGGTCTGAAGATCAACCAGTGTCCCCTTTGGTTCTGCAGTGAGAGAGGGCTTTTGTCCAGTTAAAATATGTTTGGATTGTTCTGTGTTTTCCAATAAAATAAGATTGGAACATTGAAGGTGTGTTGTGACCTTATAACACCTGACAGTATCCATTACAAAATAAAATTGTAGTGGTTAGAGATTGACTGATACAGGTTTTTATGGCCAATGCCGCTACAGATTATTTTGACCAAAGATTCACGTTAATCTGATGCAGAATGTTTTATAGACTCTGACTCTTCTTCCCGGCCCTGCGGTCGATTCGACGAGGACTCGGTGACGAGCAGCTGTGCTCACCTCAGGAGGATGCTAATCCAGATTTAATCTGCTCATTTCATCAAACACGGCATGATGCTTCCTGTCTGACCTGATTAGCTCCACGGGCTCTTACACAAATGAATGACGGGACTTTTAATTTCCGCGCGACGAGCCWTCAGTCATCGGCTCTCATTAAGATGAGAATATGATAGGAGGGAAATCCTGATAAAAAAGCTGCTTTATTATGATCCTAATTATCATTTACCTTAGTTTATTAACTGATTGATGTCAGTACTCCTTTTATTTGTTATGCAGCCAGATAATTGGTTTTATTGGGTTTCATTATGTGCTGTCATGGTTCTGTTCATGTCRGCTGTTCTGAGGAGAATTTTAGCTCCTGACATTTAGATGAAATGTTTTACTCTCCTGTCGCCGTTCTATAAAGGCTAAGTCACTGACTGATGATTTCAGGTCAGGAAATTTAATAAAAAGGTATAAAGTTTGTTCAGACTGAGAAATCTTCTGCTTGTGTTTGATATTTGTTACCTGGAAATCCTACACAGATTCATCTAAACAGGTAAAAAAAAAAAAAAACAAGTTATATTTGATATTTTTTGACCAGTGTCCACTGTTAAATCAGTTTTGTACACGAAATAAAACTCCTGCAAACATTGTGATGTATTTATTGTTTCCGTGGCTGCAGCTGRCCTCAACCTGAACCTCACCATCTAAATCTGCCTTCTTGGAAYCACTGGTTTTTGTTTATTGTCTATTGTGGGTTCAACAATCTGTGCAGGAAGAATAGTGGCCATTGTTCGAATGCAAATGTTCCTTATACTTCCCAATAAATCCAGCTGGGACAGTTCTTCATATAGCCAGTGTTGACCTWTATAAGAGGGGTTTTTAGTCGCTAAGACAAAGACCAGAGTCCCCCTCCCGGTTGCACATTATCTTCATTAATGTTGGTTGTAATTGACTTCAGAGTAAACGGCTCATTGCGCAACGTTAACGTTGTTCAAACTCTATTAGCTGAGTAATGATGCAAGAAGAGCCTCTGTGGTCCTTCAGAGTCCTGGGAGCATCGTTGTCCTCTCAGCAAACGTCGGTCTTCAAAGAGAACAGAAGCACTAATTGGACCGCTGCAGGTTCAAACGAAAACAAAACATTTCTTTACACCAATGAGATGTTTTACATCCGGARGGCTTCAGTGACCTGGAGGAGAAAACAAAACTGATATTCTCTGTTTGGCTTTTTGGTTTAATTTATGCGATCTAAATTATGTGTCAAACTAAAGGCCTGCYGGCCAAATCTGGCCCTCGTTAGCATTTTYTTTGGCTCCAAAGGTAATTTTTAAAATGTAAAATAGCTTCATTGTTTCTGTTTTTGTCACTGTATTTAGTGAACTTTTTCCATGGCAGTAATTGACTTAACTGATCTTTTTCTGTATTCTCTTTTTATTTTAAAGTCAAAACATTCGATTTTTAGTAAGTTGTTTTCAACTGATTTGCTGGATTGTGACATATGTCACAGCACAAGATATTATTGCCTTTTTAAAATGTAACCTTTGTTTTTCTTTCTCCATTAGATTATGTATGTAACATTCAAAACCACAGTATTTTTTTGAATAAATATTTACACAGATTGGACCTTGGCTTGTTATAAAACATCACCTTGAATTTTATTTTTGTTTTCCTTGTTAATTCTTGTTATCAGAAGCAAACTATGATTTATGAAGAATATTTACTTAAAGTTCTTAATGAACAAGGAAAAATGTAGTTTTGTTACAAAAAAAAGGTTTAACGATCAAAGTTTAGCATGAATAACAAGTAGATGTGATCATTAGGACTGCAAGCAGCACTGAACTGTAAAATAGGTCCAAATTTATTGGGATGTTCTGTTTGGGAACAGAAACACTTCAGAAAATGAAAGGCTAAAAAAAACTGAGGATGTTTTATCTGGGTTTAAAAATGTTGTTTAATGTGGGATAAAATCATCAGGAGCTGTGTGCTGATTGGTTCTTTCTCCTTCTTTGTGTTTCAAAGGGAGCAGCCCATCTTCAGCTCCAGAGCTCATGTCTTCCAGATCGACCCGGCCACCAAACGAAACTGGCTGCCCGCCAGCAAACACGCCGTCACCGTGTCCTTCTTCTATGACGCCAGCCGCAGCGTCTATCGTGTCATCAGTGTGGGRGGGACTAAGGTGGGAACAGCATACTTGCATAGATAATTTACATTTTCTGAGAAAAGGCAGCATTAATTGATTTATGCTAAAAGATTTTTGAAGAAAAAGAAAAAAATGTTCATAAATTATGCAGTTTGTTGTACAATAGCCAAAACAAAAAGCTGAAATTGGCAGAAAAGTAGGTGAAAACTAGCAGACGGAATCAGAAAGTGCACGTTTGCTAAATTAAGCTGCTGAAAGAATTAGCTAAAATGTTCACAAACAGGTGAATTTAGCTGAAAAAAGCTGCAAATAGCAGAAAACTAAAAGAAGTGTAAGAAGATTAGCAGAAAGAGGCTAATAAGAGCAGGATAGCTGAAAAAAGCAGAAAAAATATTAGCCAAAAATTGGCTAAAATTAGCACAAAAGGGTTTAAAAAATAAAATAAAATAAAATAAAAAGCAGAACCAGAACAAAAGTTGTAAAGTGCAGGAAAATGTTAACAGTTTTGAAGGACTTTAAGGATGTTAAACACAGCTTCATTCATTTTCTATGAGAACAAAAGTGGGCAAAAAAAAAGCTAAATGTCTCAAAATGCATAAATATCTGAAACATCAAAAGTCATYGCCYAAATGTCCTGAAGAAGCTGAATGTTAAATAGGAATTGCTGAAATAGCACAAAAGTTATGGAACGAGTTACTTTACCGTGTGGAAGAAAAACGGTTCATCTCATAGTGTGAGTGTTTAATAGTATTCACACAGTAAACATTACTTTGTGTTTTTTTCCTCACTTGTTCTATTAGAGCTTATTTAGCTCATGTCTGGGGATTCCTCAAAAACATGAAKTGCAGAATATTTCTGCCACGTTGTCAGTAGTGAAGCTGAATCCACCGCGATGCTGAGGCTCTGGGGAGCTGTGCGTCGAACATCAGTAGGAAGTAAAACTTGTCGAAAAAACAGTCATTTGGGCCAATTTCTCCCCCTGAGATTAAAAGCTTTTGGATGTGGAACTAAAGGATTAATTTTGGCAACAAATCCTCACAACTTATTTTGACAAAAAAACATACAAAAAACAAAGACTAGTTATTTTTTTCTTTTCGGTACTTTTCTAGAACAAGTCTCCTTTGTGAATATTTACCCATAAATGACCTAAATTCTATGAAGCCCACACTATAAATGTGACTTATGGTATTAAATATGCTGCAGTTTTATTATTGGGATGCTCTTTTGTGTTCATAAACTAACCATAAAACTCTTTTATTGGCTCTTTTAWTGTGATGAGCTGCTGCACAGGAACAGCTCACCTGCTAGGAATCAAAATATTTGTTTTTTTGTGACATTTCATTACAAAAAAAAAAACTTTAACATCGATATTTAATTGCTTTTTTATCTCTGTATTTTCCAAGCTTTTGCATCAAAAAACACTTTATTTTTCTTTTTTTTATCACTCGTGTCTCCTGTGGAGCCAGGCCATCATCAACAGCACCATCACTCCAAACATGACTTTCACCAAAACTTCGCAGAAGTTTGGTCAGTGGGCCGACAGCCGGGCCAACACCGTCTACGGCCTGGGCTTCTCCACGGAGCAGCAGCTGCAGCAGGTAAATCTTAAATCTGCTCCACGTGTTGCAGCTTCTTCTACATTCAAACCGGGAAGTCTGTTTCTTTTCTCAAACGTGTGCAGAATACACGGACGACTTGACCTTTTCTCTTTGCAAAAATGTGGATTTCGCAATTTTGTTTAGTGGCATTCATTTATATACAGGATTTGACCTTTTAGGTTTTTTCCCTTTCTTCTCGCACCAGAGCTTATTGTAGATGYTAAAAGAAAGCGGTTGAATATTTCACGCTGCAGCAATAATCTCATCCAGGATCTATGTTGTTTCAGTGGGATGGAGCTGAATGATGAGACTGAATATTGCTAAAAGGTGCAGAAAAGGATGCTGGTTGGTCGGAGTTTGATTTTTCGTTCCTCCTCTCTCCTTTCACCTGCAGTTTGCGGAGAAGTTCAGGGAGGTGAAGGAGGCGGCTCGGCTCGCCAGGGAGAAATCCCAGGAGAGGTTTGAACTGGCCAACCCGGCGCTTAACATCGCAGCTCCTCAGGTGCAGTAGCTTTTGATTTACTAAAACTCTAAGAAAACAAGATTTCCGACAGTTTCATTCGTCTGAGCACCTCAGATTTAAATCAACTCTAAAGTTTAAAATTCAAAGTTAATACGTGATGTGAAACAAATTAAAAAATGRCACCTTTTTGTGCAACCTATCATCCCGGAGAAGTTCCACAACAAAATGAAAGTTTTACCTTTTAGCATCGAGAAGCAACTCGTCAAAATAACTCCTAATTTACACTAGATGCTGTTCCGCTCCTCTCCGCTCTGATCTCCACAGCAAATATGCAAACATTATAAACAATGAGAGTATTTACTCTGAAGCGAACATCAGTCTGCCAAAATTAGATTCAATCCTATTTTTGCCAGACTCCAAAGCTGTGACAGAGTCAATCTTCAAAGACTGACAGGAAAAGGAACGAGCACAACATCCGTATTTTCAAAATAATTCGCAATAGGCAGATTGAGTCGAAATCTCAACTATATTGATAAATATATGGAAATATTTATWAAAAATGCTGTCAGAATCTATTGTTCTGTCTAGGAAGCAGATGGCAACACGTAGCGTGCACCATATACKTGTGGATTTTATTTTGAAATCAGATGTTTCAAAAATACAGTGTTGTGGAAATCTCAATTTAACAAAGACAGAAACAGGTGATCACACAATAAAGTCAATTCGTAGAATGGTCGTCTTGAGTTTTGTTGCAGCTGCAAGGAACAAAAATTTAACGCAGGTCTGAAAACAGTCCTGCGTCAAACTAGTTGTGCAAAGAATCAAAGTTTGAAACCTCCTTCTATACTTGATATCTGTATGTTTACATAAAATGACAACAGAGAACGTTCTGACAAATTGTCCCTGTAGGGGTGACTATCTACCRCCATACCTTATCCTGATGGTAAAACACATTATCTTAGAAGATAAATAATGCAAAACAATGGCATCATACAAACTGGGTGACATTTGGGTCAGCAACACAGGTCAGGGAAACGTGAAAAGGAAGATAAGTTATTTTTTCCATGACAATAGCAATGCAGTTTCAGCTGTGTTTGGAGTCTGTCTTCCGAGAATGAATTATTTTGCTCTGACTTCCACATTTATCTCTGGATTTATTGTGCAATCTCACATCTTGGACCTCCTCTGTGCTTTGCACCGGAGCGAACTCTGTATGATTTTGGGTGCAAACAAACTGCTGCGCACTGCACACCGGAGCAGAGCAGAACCATTAGGGGTTAAAGGGATCCCTGATTATTTGMAACATTAAACTTTGTTTGATAAACATTTATTTTAACTGTAAAATAAAGACTGTAAAAATACTGTAGCCTGTTTAGTTTTGTAAATTTTTAAAAATATATTTTAACACGGACTGAGCCATTTTATTTACACACAAAGCATTCTGGGTAAATGATGACATGTATAGGTCCTCAGTGTGAGCGAGCTATATCCACCCTGAAGGTTAATCTTGGGCAATATCTGATGATCGACTCTTTTAAATGAAACCAGAGAGCGTTGACAGAGAGGAGAAGGTAGAAATGACTCAGCCTGTAACTGAAAATATGGATGGAGGACAACAGAGCTGCTTCATGGAAGAAGAACCTCAGCTTAGCCTGTTAGCCTTTAGTGTTAGCACTGACGCTACATTGCCTTATATGTATTAGCTCAGCACTAGCGCTACAAACAAGCTGAACTGAGATACTTCATCCACATTTTCAGTTACAGGCTGAGTCATTTCTACCGATTCGATACTTTAGTCTCACGGTTCGATATTTTTTCGATACAAAAAAGAGAAATTTCCATGCCCCTTTTAACTTGTAATTTATTTATGTTAATTATGAACATTTGTTTAACCTCAAAAGTACAGTTTTTAAATTAAATGTTGCTGAAACAGCAAGTTTCTCAGTGGACCTGCGCTCAAAAATGCAGCCTAGGTAGAGTAGTGGAACACAGATCCACTGATCCTTTAACACAGAGCATCTTCAGAAGACAAGTTGATAAAGTAAATTTTTAAAATCTGTATTGTTATATACAGCACTGTTCGGTACGGTTCGATACGGGTACATGTATTGTTGCACCCCTAATGAGTGCAGCTCTAATTACAATGTATTGTAAAGACCATTACTGTTCACATATGTAATAAAATTAAGTGGAAACATCGTCTGAAAATGAACACTATTTTGCCTTGGTGTGGTTTTGGATAAGGAAGAACAASCAGTTGCACGGTACTAAAACACGGTGGTCTCTGCAGCCTCAGGGTTCTTGTGACAGCAGAGTAATAATATCCAGAGCCTTTTGTGTCTATTTTAAACGTGTTTAAATTCACGACAGATTAGTTGGATCTCCATCAGTGTGTCCCATTATTCTCCCGTTGGGTGACTCCATTAAAAGATGTCATGCATTACAAATGCAGTGTTAAAGGTGTGCAGAGGGTCAGAGTGACTGTGGGTCCCGGTATGCAGAGGAAGGAGAATAAATAAAGGGAGCTCGGAGGAGGGAGCTGAATCATCTATAATTGAGAAGAATCTGGCTGCTGCTGCTGCACGGACAATGGGCAGCTTTCAGTGTCGGCGGGTTCGTGGTGAACTTGTTCAGGTGAAGAAGTGAAAGTTTGATTTGGGAGGCAAACTTCTTAAAAAAAACGGATATTATTACAGCACATAAAGTACAAACATGTTTGGAAGGTTTTAGTTGTGCAAATCTGGATAAAACAGGAGCCCATATGAAAATGGATAAAACTGTKGTCCTGGTGTATTAATCACGTCTGCAGCGCGTTTTCAGAACCAGGGTGAAGTGCCTGCTTAAGTTTTTGTGTTTGTGCACCGGGGGTGTTAAGTCTGAACAAAGAGCCACTCAGCAGGTCTGGGAGATTGCAGAGTCACGCTGCCAGCAGCGACCTCGTCTCTGAGACGCTCCGATAAGAGCTGATGGTGCGTCTCGCCTATTTATTAGTTTTTTCACGAGGCTGTGAGAAAACACTCCTGGATATAATAACACGGCGCATCAACAGCGATAAGGTCAACAGCACGAGGAGGCCGGAGCCGAAATAGAGCCGTATTTTATCACAGCYGTGACTTTTATTGGCCACTCTTTTGTAAATATTGTTTTCGACCAAACCCTGGACTTTTCTTTCCTTTTTATTTTCTCTCAGGGTGTTGAAGCTGAAATGAGCTGAAAGAAGACATAAGATTAGAAGGTCAAAGGTTACCCTAGCTTGTGAGGTTTTATCACACGATGTATGATTTTACAGAGAACCACTTTAACGACTTGAATAATGAATTAGAGGAGACTTCTGAGTGTATTTGCTGCAGGGTCCATTAATATTGGTAATGGGTAAAACTGTCAGAAGCGAGGAAAGATTGAACGTTTATTAACAACAAATAGTGCCACAATTGATTCATTTTAACTTTGTTTCTTTTATCCAGGATTTAAAATATTAAACCAATGAAGCAATAATCTTTTTCCTTTCAGACACACTGAATATCCCAGCAAAATATTCCTCTCAGGCCTCAGTCAACGTATGAAACTTTTCTTATTCGAGCAAAATTTGTGCAATGAAAACAAGGAAAGGAGTGAAAACTTAGACATTTTGTGTTTGATTTCAACTAAACACAAAAACGTCACGTTCTTCGTCTCATTGCTATGGCTGAGCACCGCTAACAAGCAATTACTGGGCTCTACGTGGTTTTTCCTGCATAGAAACAGCTTTTAAACATGTCCTCTTATAAACACTGAAGAGAAATACGCCTTCGTCTGAGTAAATGTAAAATAAATAATACAGAAATACTATTAAAGTGAAGGTAAGAGTTTTTACTCACTAGTGAGTTGTGGTGAGTAGCTGCCATCTTGAGTTCTGAACTGTCCCACTCTCCAACAGGGATTTCCCATTGTACGGGTGTTCCAGTTTAAATTTGCAACTTTTAAGCGGGAAATTCCCACTTCCCAGCAAAAGTAGCCATCGAAAATGCAGCAAAATGGAGATTTTAAACAGTGAATCTCGCCGGCTGCTGGCTACTGGTTACGGCTACTTTTGAACCCCCTGAACCTCCACCTAGAGGTGAGATGTCATCATTTTGTGGGTAAAACTTCCAGAGGGCCACATAGTGCTGCACACTTACCCAAATGTGATAAAATTTTAATTTTCAATATGTTTCTATATACATATGTGTTTTTATTAAACCAACATACAGTGCAGTAACCTATTTCATGCTCAAATGCATGTATCACAGTTGCACCTTTGTTAAATAAATATAAAAATAAAATGTTTGACACAAACAAAAAAACATTTACTTTAGCGAGCTGAAGTGCAACAGCATAAAACACCTTGAGTTCAGACTCCTGCGTGGTTCTGGTTCTGGTAAGATGTTGTTTATGTATTTGTGACTTCAGTGAATTTCTCATATTTAGCTTTGTGCAACGTGTTGTCGTGACGACTTATATGAAAATCCTTCATGGCCGACAGCAACTCTGAACAGACTAAATATATAGGTTTGCCTTGAAATTCTGTGAAARGTGGTTTTATCTGTCCAGGTTTCTTCCTCGGCTCTTAAATGTTTCTTCCTCGCTGGTAGAGATGATGTATGTGCAAGGTGTTGTCCGCAATGGAGGCGCCCTCTAACAGCAAACATTGCCATTGCAATGAATTCAGTGCCACTGAGACACTTTTATACTTTTTCGWAATTTTCAAAAATTAATCTAAGAACTACTTTGAGTGCTTTTTTTAAGTAAAGAAAATATTTATTTTTTTGGGTGGTGGACCTTATTGGTAGGCTGTATGGAAGTCACTGGCCCACGGGCCTCCAGTTGCCCATCCCTGAGGTAGTTATTGTCTTTTCTCAGCAATGCCATTTTTTAAAATTAGGAAAAAAGAGATGCTTTTTTTGCAGAGCACAACAATTATTAATTTTATTCCTAGCTGTTTCATTTTTGAATGGAACGGCCTTTTATCACTCCAGAATATTTGGAAGCTGTGAAAACTTGTTTATTGCATGAAGAAGGGT